ATTTTAATCATACATTCCATAGGATTCACAACTTTTCAACCATATATTTCATTAATTTTCAAAACCCACTAAATATAATTTTTAACTACCCAAATAGAGGTTAAGAATGCTCAAAATAATGATATCATGCCAATTGTGTCTTATTTGAAAAATAAATCTTTTTTCATAAGATTCCTAATATCGAGATTGCATGTGTCTCACGATAAAGAGCCACCTATTTTGTTAGGAGATCAGAAGTAAAATTAAGAGTAAAGACTTCAAACATGGCAAAAGTTAGTTGTTAATCTTGAATTCCTTATAACTAATTTTAAGCTTGATTATAACTTTTTTCCAAAATACAACATCCAGTCAAACTGTCAATGTCTGAAACTTAATGAAGAAAATCGAAGAGAACTAATACATACTTGCTTCCAGTCAATATTGAAAGAAATAAATAAAATGTTGAACATGCAGTCACTCGTAGAAAATCAAATGCACCATAATGGAGGTGAAATATAACTACGCGATTCTCCTGCATAATTTAATTGAATGGTTCCGTCTTCCATGTTAAAGATTCCCATGTCATGGCCACCTCCACCAGGTTCATTGAGATAGAGCTCACAATTATCATCTGTAAAGTATATGCAATTTGGTTTGATACATTCTGATGAGGCAATTGATGTAGAAACATTGCTACCTAAGAACAATGCTTGATCACCTAAACTAGTCACTTCAGTTAATCTATATGCATAATTATTCCCCTCCTCGTGACATTCATCTAACCTCAAAACAGAAAAGCCAGTCGTATAGTATCTAGCTTTCTTCTCCTCTTCCTTGTCAATGTCTTCAGCATCCTCCACCTCATCAACATTATCATCACCATCAACATCACCTTTGTCGTCCTCATTATCATCACCTTCTTCCTCATCGTTAACATCATCTTCTTCTTCTACATCATCGTCATCGTCATTGTCATCTTCGTCGTCGTCGTCGTCATCATCATCAAATAAAAGACCCTTTCGGAGACGAGAAACGAGTAGAAGATGTCCTGATGATTCAACTAGATACTTCTGATATAAATCACTAGTTTCAACTGGAGCAGGGGCAATAATTGTTGCTATCGGGCCATTGGCGTCATCAAAGTCACAAACAACTACAACTCCATGAACATCTACGGCATAAAATTTCCCATTGTAGAAAATAATATCTTGGTAAACGCGAGAATGGACAGAGATATTGGTCCAAACAGTATCTCCTAATTTTGTAAAAGCCAATATAGCAAATTCTCCATAAATAGCAACTATAGTACAATCCTCATTATAATCATGTGAACTTTTCTCCTTTCGAGGATTTGAGGACATCGCTATTTTCCTAACAAAGAAATCCCAAACCTCTTGTGGCTTGAATGTCTCATCATATTCATACTGATCAGGGAAGGTCAGCATAGGGGGTAGGCAAATTTGTTGTCTAGAGAAGGGGTGCAATAAATTGATTTGTAAATCAATGCCAATTGTCCACAACCATCCATAATGTGCTCCTCTGCAATTCCTGCCACTCGCTTCTGGCAACTGGAGCTGATATGTCTTTGAGGCTAATAAGTTAAGAAAGCAACGAACTGATGCATCTTGATCACCTCGATTCTCTTGATCCTCGGTATCTATTTTTTCAGCAAGCATGATCCGAGGATATCTAGTAGGCAATGAAGGTTTCTTCTTCAATATTGAAGTCACTGATTTCCATTCTTTACAAACAGCAGTGAAGGATGTAAAATCCTCTATTAGAGTTAAACTTTGAGCGATAACAACCAAAATGTCCATTGGAAGATCAGCCCAATCTGCCATGTTCGGCTATCAGCTGCAGGCAATAAATTCAAGATGAAAATAATGAAATAAGTAAAATATGAAAAAAGATGATATTCTTAATCAGCTCCACAACTAAAATATGTGTTTATGGTCTTCGAGGAATAAAATTAAGTATGTCAGTGCAGCAACAGGCATTGACATTTCCCTTTCTTTTCTTCATTCTACTAGCTACATTAAAGCAAATACAAAAGTGAATTTTCATTACAATAATTCAGAATTATGGTTTATGATTAGTAGGATTAGAATTCAAAATTATTGATAAATTAATTATGAAATACGTACGAGTAAAAAGATTGAAAAGTACGTTAGAATATATAATAAAAGATTAACATCAAATTGTAGTGTGAACATTATTTATATATCTGTACTTCCTTCCCAGCAATCCAGCATAAAAGATTCATAATGCAGTTCAGATAACTTATGTAATCACAGTCCATTGCATAAACTCAAATTAAACAAGGAAATAAGTATTAATACTTAAGAAATTGAGAACAAAATACTACTGTAAGAATAAAATTAAAAGTTGGCCCAAAAAAACTAAAATTGAAGGCTAAGTTCTAAACTTGAAAATTGAAAAATAAAAAAGAAAAAGAAAAGAGGCTTACAGTCAGCTATGGCAGCCCGTAGACAGTGGCAGTCTGTCGGGGATCGGCAATAGCAAGTCACATGCGTCAGTTGGACCACAACAGCTCAAATCCCTTTTTCTACAAATTGCAAATGTAAAAACGGAACAATGAATGAAAAAATTCACTCCACAGAAGACAATCTAAAAACGGGGTGAATTATCCAGCATAGAAGACAATCTATAACAAATATATACATAAATACAAAATTGAAATACATGCACAGTGACTATTTATGAGCAAAAAGAACATCCAAGGTTCCGTCTTTCATAGATTACAGCACCGCCAGCCGTTAAAATCAAAGTATTTCTACCAATTTTGATTAAATCTTAAAATAAAATATACAAATTTGTATAAATTAAAAGTTAAGAACATGAACAGAGAATTAAAATTGATAGAAGAGGGATCCTGGAAAAGTACCTTGGAGAGAGAATACCGAGAAAGGAAGAATAGGGATATTGGAAATTAAGAGAATTGAAATTGATAGTATTGTGGCTGCTTTTAAATTAATTGATGAAGAAGAACGCGGATACCACAATAGACGGACCAGATTTGTGGTCTCACAAGAGTCAAAACAAAACCTATATTTGAAGAGAAAAATTAATGTTGGATATCTGATTTTTCTTCCATCGACGGTTATAATAAGTGAGCACTTTCCTTTCCATATCTGTGATCTAAATTAAATTTATGGTAAGTCTCAAAACAAAACCGATATCTATTTGAGAAAATTAACGTTAGAAATCTGATTTTTCTTCCATCCCGGGATTCATTCAAAATTTATTTCCTTTTTGTGAACTTTCCTTTCCTTTCCGAGATCGATTCACAGTTTATTTCCTTTTCCCGGAATGATTCGCAAATTATTTCCGCTTCTATATAAGGCAGTCCCCTCTCCTCTTCTTCTCAACAATTTCATATTTTCTTTACAATCTGTTCATCAGTTCTGATATTTCAAGAATTTCTTGCTTAAAGTACATTCACCATCAATTGCTATGGCGTATAATTTTCAGAATCAACCCATCCGACCAGTCTATTTTACCCTTACCTTTACTTATTTTTCCGGTTATATCACCGTAATGCAAGAAAACTACTGGGTTGAGTCACAAGGCAGTAATTACCAGTTTCCTTCAACTTACGGGCATGTTCCTCGACGACGACGATCCAGGGAGCATTTTCAAGAAAACTACAGGCACTTGAACCGAACATGGCAAGGTTCATATGATGAAGTCGAAGTATGGGATGAGTCTGAATTTATTGAGCATCGGAGATCAAATTTGTCTACCACCATCTCCCGTGATGATCGGCTCCGGACCAATTTCTCACAAGAAACTATTCCCCGACATTTGAAAACAAGAAAGTTCGCTACTTCGGAAGAGGTAAAACCCACAAACGAAGGGCCTGAAATCTGTGTGGTGTGCCAATGCGAATACGGAGACAATGAGAGCATTGGACGCCTTCGATGTGGACATGAATATCATGTCGATTGCATTACGAGGTGGTTGTGTCAAAAAAATGTCTGTCCCATCTGCAAAGCCACGGCAATACCGAGAAGCGAAGAAGTAGCTCGTGTATAGAAATCAAGAAGAATCTGCAGCAATTGTACTGAAATTTTGTTCTATAGTTGTCATTTGTCCTTTAGATGTACTGTGCATAACATTGTTCGGAATTTTATGTAATTAGTTCTCTGTTTTTCACAATCGTGCTTTTGTTACTTTTGTCCACTTTGTTACGTCTTATTTTTCAGAATCAATGGATTCTATTATTGGGTGTTTCTTAGACTAACTTTAGGAGCATAACAGACCAACAAAAGTGCCATGTATCACTGCACACCTAATTTTTTGGACATATTAAGAATCTGTCGAGTTGTAATGTTACCGTCGTGTGATGCTTGCAAAATCCCAAGATTTCCAAATGAAATCTTGTGTAAGTTTGACCAAAATTTCTCCAACTTAAGGAAAGTGGAAAGCTGTCAAAGTGGGAGATCCTGTATGTGCGTTCGAAGGTGGTGTCTTCATCTGCAGATGCACCAGTAAAAGATCTTTACTGGTATTATTTGTGATTCTGTAGGATAACAAGTTTGCTGTGAACTTCGAATTGTGTGGGACTATTAATGTTAATTAATGGATGATCATTCTAATGGTTTAAGCTCTTTGGCATGGTGTTAAGAGCAGATAGTAAACAAAAGAATTTGGAGTTCAAATCTTGTTGCCGGTTGTACGCACATCCAACATTGGGATCCATGGGTCAATGATCCCATTTCATATAAAAAGAGCATACGCCCTATTTGATGTCATTATTTCCCCAAAATAAATAAATAAATAAATTAAAATAAAAATAAAGAAATAGTATTTTTAAGAGAATGTAAGGTTAAAACATAAGGTTAAAACATAGGAAAAAAAATTAAACTTACAGTCAAAATATTTTATTGTGTAGATATGTAGGTAATTACACCTTTTACTTTCCATTTGACTCCCAATATTAAGATAAGATAACATTCCTATGAAGTGTGAAAGTGTGTCTAAAAGTCTTCTTCAAAAAATTAACGCGAAAGAAATTTTTATTAAAATCTGAAAACCCATTGTCCAAATTCTGATTGAAGTGGAAAGCAGATACAAAATTCAGAATTCCAGCACTACAAAATGTACAAGCACACGATGCCAGAGTTCTGAGAGTGAGATTTATAGATATATCCAATTTTTTGCTCTAAAGAGCTCAGGACAAGTCCTGAACAGTAGATACTACGCTTGAGCCTCGGATAGCTGTCTTCTCCCTCTTTCCTTTCGCATATGGATCGAATCCCTTACTATAGTGAAAAGGCATTACTTTCTGATTGAAGAAGACCTGAAGCTAGCTCGAATCGACACAATTCAATGGTTTTCCCCTAATCGTTCCAAGCCTTAGGGCAATCAGGTTAATCCCTTAGCAGCTCAGAGCGGAGAATTTCCGAGCAATTGGAAGCCGCTTTCGATGAAGAGCATGAGTTTGAAGCTTTCGAAAAGACAATGTCCCTATGATGGATTCCTCCAACTCAATGAATGAAGGGAAGTACTGAGATGCCATAGTTATTCGATTTCTCCTGTAGCACATTCAAAAAATGGCTTTCATTAGCGTGAGAAGGCGGTGAAAGGCTTCCTGTCCAACTGGTATTTTCCTTATGACTCCAACTGTTGTTTAGGCCATCCAGGGAGAGAGACACCTCAGAGCGATAAATTCCCAGTGCTTGAAGGAACTTACTTGGAGCCTTCCTTGATTATCTCATACATGAAAGAAGAATAAAGCTCTTCATCCTCTCAACTATGTGAGTTTATAGATTTGAATCTACCCTACACATTTATTGAGTTCAAAAGAAAGAACAAAAGTATTTCACCAAATTCTGATTCCACACCAAAACGCCATTCTCCTTGAATTATACAAAACCAGTATTCTGCACAATTGTTCAAGGCTGCTTCCCTGGATACCCTTCTAAGCCTTCTCAGATGCGGTCTCCTTTCTGTCATCTCTACTTCCCGAGGACCCATTACCTGAAGAAGCTCTAATGCGGCGGTTGCAGCTGGGTCCAGCTCTGAGAAACCTTTCAGTTATGGAACTTGCAAACAAGAAAATATAGAATGATAGCTTTTCTTGACCATCATTACTTCCCTCCTGCATTTCTAGTAAATTTGGGAAAGCAGTGAAGTCTTAAAAATATATTTATGCAATCTTTGCCATGTTAATCATAATTATTGATTCTAGTAATATTTGGACTGTACAAGCAAATTAATGAATTCTATGATTGTATGCCAAAGTGAGTCGAAGAAAATTTCCAGAAAACATCACACAGAACTGAACTAAACAGATCGAGGGCATTTTCCTACATACATTTAATGTAGTTAAATGACTATTTCATTTCGCTGCTATACTAGTAGGTAATATCTAACAATTTACATTAATAATTTTAACTGATCAAAGGTGTGTCAATAAGACTGTCACGAGTTCTCTAAGATAGGTAACTCGAGCTATACCATTTTCCTAAATGTTATATTATCTTAGATATGGATTGACACAGATGGAATTACAAGAGCCTATTATTAGATAAAAACATAAATTGACACAATAAAGCAACTTTTGAATAGAGTGTAACATGCAGAACAACCAAGAACACTTTTCCATTTAATATATAACGCCCTTTGAAATTAATACATTCACAATGTGGCATCTCACAGTTTTGACTTCCGTGTATATCATGAACATGGATGGTTAGAAGTTCTCATTCCCCATACCAGTGAGCACATAGTTTAAATTAAAAATAATAAGTCACTTATTTCAAAGCAAGAAACAGATTATGGATAAATAATAGGGCAAGTAAAACTTACTCTTAAGAGACAGCACACCTAAAATGGTTCATGCAACCTGGCAAATGAAGAAGAGTTCATTTTGCATTCCACTGCAAAAGTTGTATGGCCAGCCAACACAGCTCGTCTAGAACCAGTTACATCTAACTGCCAAAAATAAGGTGAAATCAACAAGTAGATTCAAGGAATGGAAATCGAGATTATTATGTTAGCCCTAGATCATACAATTCCCCAAAGACAGCAGCTCGTAGATTCCTTTCTATACCCAGCTACAAGAATAAAGCCTTCAACACTCCCAATGTAATTAATATTCCAAAAGTTGAACCCGCAACACAGAGAAAAGATGCACGCAATCAGAAAGAGTTGAGAGTAAAGGCAACCTAAAAATAGGCAGAAAAAACACAAATGCAGAGATAATTAAAAAACATTGAGATCCCATCTGTTGACTCAAACCCTCCTCCTTTTCCGGGCTTGGGACCGGCTGTGTTGAGCAAACATGCAACACAGGCGGAGTTAAAAAGAGTCAACTACATAAAACCAAAACAGACACACAATGAAACAACTTTAAAACACAGTATAGTATGCAGCAAATCCAAGAACATCTTACCATTTTTAAAATAGTCTTTGTTCCCTTCAAAATTTGACTTACCAACAACCAGAATTGTGCATAAAAGCAAAGGTTACGAAATATTGAAAGACACAAAATTGTGAATTAGAGGAGAAATACTGGTAAAATGAACTTTTTAGTTCCAAGTATCGATTTATATTTCTCTTCCAGTTCTCATTTTATGGGCCAGTAGTGGGATTATGCAGCATTTTTGTCTACGAGCAAAATCTGCAAGCGTGAAATGGATTTATTTATGATCATGTAGGTATCTACGTACTTGACACCGTCAATCTAACTTGATCCAAAGAATAAAAAACCAGTTTGTAACAACACAGGGTAATCAAAGAGACTGAATAGGGTATGAGGCAAAATTTTAGAGTAATAGTTAAATGGAAAATATTGCGTACTGAATATGCCTCCTAGTCAACTTGTATTTATATATCCTTTGGTCCGTCCGCCAAACAATAATCGACTGTGCGGGGAAAAGTGTGGATTACAGTGAGAGAGAGCTCCTTCGAACTTGCGAGTCAAAACCATCCATACCGAGCATATCGTCATAGGTGTTGATTGTTAGCTAATAGTGCATGTTCTGTATATTTCTGACACTTAATATTTCCAGAGCTGATTGCAGCTTTCCTCTTCGATACGGAAAGCTTAAGACGCGCACTCAGGTACAACACAAGAAAAACAACACACTGAAATATTCCATCAAGGCTACACACAAGGTGGAAGAAAATTTTGAATTCAACAGGCACCACTGATTAATAAATACCAAATGCCCAAATAAGATTCAAGCCTCCTACACTTCGTGTGCAGCAGCTGCGAAAAAATACAGCATAGAGCTGGACTCCAGCTGCAAGGATACCCCTCAAGAGTGGCTTCCAACAGTTCATAGCTAACCTATATTCAACTCCATAATATATCAGATGACAAGGTAACAGAAAGTTGATTAGTTATCAGTTGTCTGAAAAGGAGTCCCAACATTACCTTAAATATGAGCTACTTGGTTATACTTGGAATTGTGGAATATCAGAGAAACACCACATGTATTTCATATGAAACACATGTAACGAAGTGGACAGCCCCAAAAATATCATAGCTTCTCCATATCATTATATTTGAACTAGAGAAAGAAGATAAATGTGGCTCCAAAAGCAAACACTACAGAGTAGAGGATCTAAGCATGTGCTCAAATGGAACTGATGAAATCAGTTATCAAAATGAAGGCCAGATAAACCACAGATTCTAGAAGGAACACTATTCAAACCCTTACTGTGCCAAGGAAGTTCGTAGGCAAATAAATCAAATAAGTTGAAAAACAGACTGTAACCGTATGGTTATTGTCTTACTGCCGTCGACAACAAATAAAGAACCAAATCCAAGCTGATCAATCTGTAGATAACCGCAACAGCCTTTTCAAATCTAGCCTGAAATTCATCAATATAACCTCAATTTGAAGCTCATAAACAAGGAATCAACCACATGCAATTATGAACAATTAGTTCAAAGTCACCTGCATAATAGTAATGTGCATAGGATCACAGCAAGGAAGTGTGGTCTAACCAACCAGGGCAAGGAGTGGTCTAACTGTTGTTCATGTGGCTCATAAAGAGTGGAACATAAGTCCTGGAACAGGGGTATTTCTTGTACGGGCCTTAAAGTCTTATATGGGCCAAGATTAGGATTAGTATAAATAATATGTTGTAACCCTATTTTTCACTATTGAATAAAAATTATCTCCGCTTCGCTCTCGTGGACATAGGCACACTACCGAACCACGTAAATTATTGTTTTTCTTTTTCATCTCTTTATTATTGCACATAAAATCCAACACCACTAACCAGAGCAAAAAAATCTACAAACCTCACAATCATGAACGATAAATAACCCAAGAGTTGGCAAAAACAATTGTCTGCAATATGTACGAGTGAGAGTTGATCATCGGTCTATTTTTTAATCTATTTCTTTGCAGGATTGCTCGTTCCGTCTGATTTTAAGTTGCCTTTGACAGTGGAGTAACCAGGAATCAACCAACACAAAAGGATTCCAAGATAATTAATCAAAACTTAGAACAGAAAACATCCAGGCAGAAATTTCAACTCACGAATATCACCATGAAGCCTTGCAGAACTGCAAATTCAATCGCGCAAGGAAGAGATGAAAAGTCAATCACACTATTTAAAATAGAGTATGCTACCAGCGAAAGAAGCCAATCTGCCCTTTTCAAAATCCTTAAGAATCATAAATCTCCAGTGCTGCGTCTCAGTAGCATCTTTTTTGAAAACAATTGAACTTGGTTTTTATATCTTCAAAAAAGATGAAATGAAGAATCATTGAATTCAAAACAAGATTGGACAAAACAGATAGATACAAAGAACATGCAACCAACTTTTAGTCGTCACCCAGGGAAGACGCGTCATCCAGCAGCTAGCACACCACCACCTTGAGAGGTTACCCACACGTTAAAGAAAAGGAAAAAGGATCCTTGAATTAACCAGCACAGAACCACTGGAGCCTGGAACCAAGTTTTGCTAGTTCAGCCTCAGTAACCAACCTCACAACTACACCATCACAGAATACCCATGAACTGAAAGAAATTGTTCACAACATGAAGTTACAAAATCCAATTATGACTAACATTTAGTGGACAAGTCACCTGCATAAAGTGATGCTCAAAAGCATCATAATCGGGAAACTATTACAGATCCATGCTCATTCAATGCAATCTCTCCATCAAAAACTTTATGAACTATTGACGGACAAGGGATCCACGGACAAGAAGGATAACAGTAAAGAGTAGAATGATATCCAACAGGAAAGAAAATATCTAACTTTATCCCCGACAACCATCTAAGATCATGTCACTGACCTCAGAAGGCAAAAGGTATGTGAACAAATGAGGATCACTTCAAATTTGTAACATCAGATATCTACTAGATTTTGATCATTCAACCAAACTAACTGCAAAAGCACCCGAGACTTTCATTTCTTCAAGATATTTAAACTCCATGGTGTTTTATTTTACCACAGAACTTCCAAGAAAATGGGGATATTCAGAATCTGATAAATCCTCCCCTAATTCTATCATCTTGAAATTGAAGGTACGACACAACGTTTTTTTTTTTCAGAGCCTTCATGTTTACTTCATTCATCCGACCTTTAGATCATTTGACATCCAACTATCATTCTAATATGCTCAGTTACATAAATGAAGGTAGAGACGAAAGAACTTCAACTTACTAGCAGAAGGTGGCACAGATCTAGCAAACACTGAAGGGAAAGATCAAATAAAACATCAGAGCATGACAGCAGTGAAGTGACATGATTCAAGTGTTTCTAGCTTGGCTTAACTAATTGCACTGAATTTTAGTAACACATAGAAGTGCATAACCTCAATAATCCACTCTGATATCGTTACACCTGGATTTTATATCTGCACTCTATATAGAACAAATCCTCGTAAGTTCATGACAAACTAATCAAAAACAAAAAAATCAATAAATAATTTTCTAATGACAATAATTTATTTCCCTTGGAAAATCAAGGAGCAAAAAGATTTAATAAAAAATATCAACAATCTTCTTTCAAGATCCCCAAAATAAATAAATAAATAAATAATAAAAAATTAGAAAGGACCTATTCTATTCGATTCCTTTTTTTACACGTTCATTGGATAGATATACAAAAAAGAAAAATTAATTAAAACCTTTAAATATCATATATACCAATCAAAGAAACATTAACCAAAACCAAGACATACATATAAATACGACGCACTACTTGAAAATAGGGTTATAGTAATCGCCTCTGATGCTCAAACTCTTCAAAATAGTCAGAGTATCCTTGTCGGATACATCACGACATGGGTAAGAGTATGAAATATGTGTCGAATCCTCTAAATTTCAACCAGACGCTTCATCGTTTTTGCTTCTTCTTCTTCTCTTCCTCCT